GCAGTGAAAAGCCAGTGATGGTAAAAATACAAACAATCACACATGCAAATTATTTCAGCATCTATCTACCTGACCTTGTATCCTATAGCTCTAAGTCTTCTTTACCAAATAATCAGTTGGTCTTTGTATGCTGGTCAACCACTGTCACCATCCCTAAATGAGGAAAACTCATGGAACTAAGAAGAAAATCACAATGTAGAGCCCAGACCCACAGTATATATAGTATGCTGCTCTGAAAAGCAAGTCACTATGGAATTTGTTTGTAAAATGTTGATAATATATTTTGAAATATATATATATATGCATATATATATATATTAGTAGAATGAATGAAAGAAAGGGAGAGAGTGAAAAGAGCAGAAATTATACTGCCAACAGTTGTGTTTGAAGTATATACTAATTACACCGAATGGAAATTTAAAAATTTGATTCCAAATATAAAAATATTTAAGTAATTCAATAAACAAGAACAAAATTACCAAAAAAGACATCCTTTTCACATTTATTTATTTATTTAAATTTTTTTAGAGAGTTTTTTACTATAGGGCACGTGAGCTCACCAGAGAGACAGAAAGGGAGAAATACCCACCTTCCAGGGAGAATGACTGTACCAAAATCTTTTTTTCCTCCATTCTCCTTTCAGGATCTTGGGAATCTGTGTACCATTCACCTGTCATGATATTTTTTTTGGAGAGGTCTTTGCTATAGGGCACATTCGCTCGCCAGACAGAGAGAGACAGAGAGACAGAAAACGAGAAATCACCCCCCAGGGGAATAGCCACGCTGCAATCCCTTCTCCTCCATTCTGCTCTTGGGATCTTGGGCACGCACGGACACATGCCTGGCGTGATCTTGGGCATGCACAGACACATGCCCGGAGTGAGTTTTAAGCCACCGGGTCTGGGACGTGAACCGCGGTCGACTACGTGGGAGTCCAGCGACATAGCCATTATGCTAACTTCTGGTCCCACCTGGCGTGATTTTTAAGATGCCAGGTCTGGGACTCAAACTGCAGTAGATTCCATGGGACTCCACCAACATAACATTACGCCAAATGCTGGTCCCTATTTATTTATTTATTAAGAGAGAGAGAGAGATAGGCTTCCCAAAGGTCCCTCTTATCACTGTCCACCCCTAATCTCAGCCAGCCCAGATCGTGGGCATGTGCATGTGTCTGCCTTCCCAGGGCAACCTCAGGACCTTTCTTACGAAGGTTCAATTGAGTTACTTGTACACTACTGTCTGCCCCTAGAAAACCCTTTTCTTCCTTTTTTTTTTTTTTTGAGAGAGCTTTTTCACTGTAGGGTCC